CATTGATCGACTCTACTTCAATTTCGACCGGGATTCCACCTTCATGAAGATACGCTCGACTCAATGTGTCAGAAAGCTCCATATTCTTCCCACTTCGTAACCTGAGTATCAGGCTCTCGGTATTGAAGAGAGCCTGACACAATTCGCCTCTACGGGCTTTCCACCCCCAGAATATCAGCCAATTAAAATTATTTCCGGTTGTAGCATATTTCCGGTTGTCCGCTACAGGTATGTAAATACGCAAATTTCGTTATTTGCAGTTTTATATAAATTTGAATAAATACGGAGAAAAATCGGTATGTTTTTGTCGAAATATCCACATGATGGAATTCTAAGCGTAAACTATGCCTTATTCGGGGAACCATAGCTCGATGGCTTTTTCCAGGAGTCTAAAGAGACAACATTCGGCGCTCTGAATAGGATTTCTTCTTCCTCGGTCCTCGTGTCATGTTAATAGTTTGTTCGAGACAGCTATTCGCTTCAACTGCGTCTGACACAGCGGCTATTGTCTTCAATTTCTGCCTGATGTTGGCATATTAGTTCGAGCGAGCTGACTACTATATCCTTGCAGGTCTTGGAAAACAGCTCGGCAATAAACTGATAAATAAGGCTTCAGCTTTTTGGAACTAAATATTTGAAAATTCCGACATCCACATATTTTCGTTCTACGGCGACTATTACGGCGAGATATTTAGACACGCTTTCTACTATGACTATGTAGTTTTATTTTTATACCGAGTAAAATGTTGCTGCAAAAGCGTTTTCAACGTCTTTTCGTACTTATTTTGTCATTTTTAGGCTTAATTAATTGAAAATAAATTTCAGAAATAAAGCACTTTTAACAGTATATTGACAAAATTACAAATTCTATTTTAGGTGTTTACATACGCCGGTCATATATTTCCGGTTTGAATCACATGATGCGTTTTATCGTCTCTTAGCCAATCAGCATAACATCCAGATTCTGGATGTTGAACATGGCTTTTGAGGCGTTTCGTGTCAGGCCCTCTTTCAATACCGAGGGCCTGATACTCACGTTACCCACTTCGATACACCAAATCAATATCATATCCTTGCAGTCTTAACAACATTCTCTACAATGTTCTTGCAGCCATATGTAGGGGTTTTTTCATTATACTTTCCAATGGCTGACGATCAGATTGGACTTACACTGGACGACCGCATGTGTACTGGCGAAATTTCTCCAAACCAAAGAGCACGGCCAGAAGCTCTTTCTCGATCTGAGCATAGTTGACTTCTGCTCGAGATAACGCTCTATTTGGAAACGCAAGCGGCTGTCCATTTTGGGAAATAACTGCTCCTAAGCCTTTTTCGGATGCATCACATTGTAAAGTAAGCTCTTCACTAGGCTGGTAATACTTTAGGATTGTTACCTCGCCAACTAACTGTTTCATTGTGTCAAACGCGAGCTGTTGTTCCTCGGTCGATCGCCACGCTGTATCGTTATGAGTTAGTTTCCTCAACGGTTCATATACTCCACTCAGGTTCGGCAAGAATCTTTGTAAATAGTTCACAAAACCAATCAATCTACGAACTGCAGCTACATCTGTTGGCTTAGGCATCTCTAAGATTGCTCTCACCTTGTCTGGATCAGGCTTCAGTCCTTCGTCTGTCAACAGATGACCCATGAATGTAACTTCATTACAACTCAGTTTGACTTTATCTGCATTCAACGTGGTGTTCTTCTCACGACATCGACGCATTAATGCATGAACTTTCACATCATGATCTCGCTGTGCTTCTTCACGCGTAGCACCGTTGCCAATCACCAGGATGTCATCGTGAATTGCTACCACTCCTGGAAGATTCTCTATAACACGATGTTGGCGTTGTTGAAACTCTTCTGGTGCACTTGTCAGACCAAATGGCATCCGCAGCCAGCGACGACGGCCAAATGGGGTTATAAAGGTGGTCAGTAGGGAACTTTCTTTGTTTAGCACCACATGCCAAAACCCATTTCTCACGTCGAATACACTGAACACTCTTGCTTCTCTCAGGTCGGGCAAAATCTCGTCTATCGTTGGAATTGGATAGTGGCTGCGTCTGGTAGCTTTATTCAGATCCTTCGGGTCTATACATATACGTAGCTTGCCAGTTGGTTTTCTAACAATAACCATATTCGATACCCAAGGTGTCGGTTCGGTTACCACTTTAAGAATGCTTTCAGACTCTAACCTCTCCAATTCTGCTTTCAAATAGTCTTTCAGCGCATTGGTACTGGTCTTGGTGGATGAACCACAGGTGTTGCATCTGGATCAATTGTTACATGATATTGTTCGTCAAATTTGCCAGTCCTTTGAAAAACATCCGAATATTGTTCAATAAGGGTATCTTTAGTCAACGCTGTTTTACTTGATTTAACCGACAACAATAATATATTCGCGTATCTGACTGTAGGCTCATTTGTTGAATAATTGTTTCACTGCCTATATAACAATGGTGTGCATTCTTGTTTCAAAACAACAAATTCTGTTTCATAGCTTTTGCCAGTTTTCTGCCAGTTTTATTTTTTTATTGTAACACACATTGTCCGACCGGTTGTACCGTCGCTTTGTTATACATCTTGAGAACTCGGGTTGTTCCTTTCAATTGAACTTTTCCTAAACACCGCTCTAACATAGATAATGAAATGACATTGCATGTCACGCCACTGTTTAACTGAAAATTCATCGGCTGTTTACCAACAGTTATTGAGGCATATAATCGCTTTGGAAATTGTTTTGTGCTTGACGATATTTCTGACTTTCGCTTGTCGTCCACTTTTATTACCATTTTAATTTCCTCATAGTCGCTGCTATCACTGGAAGTGTCTACCTTTTTAACTGTTTGTCTTTTAGTTTTGCACACAGAGGCAAAATGATTTAATTTACGGCACTTTCGACACTCTTTACCATACGCAAGGCACTTTGTTTTGTTCCATTGATGCATACCCCCACAATATTTGCATTGCCTTCCTACGCCTACGGCATTGTTCAACTGTTTAGAATTATATCCGTTTCTTACTTTTCGGCTTCTATTTTGCTTACCGCCTTGTCTAGCGTTGAATACATAAATTCTATCGTTGTCTTCGATCTCTTCGTTCTTTTGATAGTTCAACTGCTCGACAATATTCTATGCATTTATCCAGGTTCAGTTCAGGTATTTTCAACAAGTCCTGTCGTAGCTTCGAGCCAGTCATGCCACAAATTATTCGGTCTCGGATCAATGATTCTTTAAGCTGTTCAAAGTTACACGTTGCAGCCAGAATTTTCACATCTGTGATAAACTTATCCAATGTTTCTCCCGCTCCTTGCACTCTTGTAAAGAACTTGTATCTTTCTACCGTACGTTTTTCTTCGGGTCACAATAGTTCGAGAATGCTTCAACAATATCTTTTTGATCAAGAACCCGCTCTTCGGGTTCTTGATCAAACGATAATGTCTCGTATATTTCTCGACCTTGACTTCCAACAATGTAGAGAGTAGAGCACTTGGTCCACTTGTTTCACTAGTTTCTGGTTTCGCCATATTTCTCTCAGGCTCGTTTGACTACACACCTGACACCATGTTAAACATCCCGTTTTATATTAACACATGCACACATTTAAGTACAGTAGATTAAGACACATTTAATAAAACTGCTTTCCCTCTAATACATTAGTACTATGAGCCCGCATTACTGTTCCATGATAAGTACTTCTTCTTACACCAGGTTGTTTTTTTACTCTCACTGCCAATGTAAAATGGCAATGTATGTTCACCACGTAGGAGATATACATGATGCATGCAATAATATTTGTTCACATCATATTTGAGATTGTCAGTTATATATCTATTGAAACACTATTTAGGCAGCATCAAAGTTCCATATTCTTTCCCTGTTAACTATGTCAGAAGATTTGGATCAAAATATTGATGAAGCTATCATTGATCAACTTTTATGCAAGTGGAAACATAACGCTGTACCAAAAGAATTGAAAGGTTTGTTAACATTGTGTTGTTGGCGCGCGTAAATATAGAAACTAAGTAAAGAAATTCGTCATCAGCATTCAGCAAAACCTATAAAATTGACTCCGAAAGATGTAAAGTGTAAACCTATCCTTATTATATTTGTAGAATATCTGAAAAGGAGCTTAAAGCGGTGGCTACCAAAAAACAAAATTCAAGAAAGATTTCAAAATTACAAGAAGGAGCCAGAGTCTCATCACGGCATAAAGAATAGGTAATTAAAGGCCGTTGAGGCCCACTCATGGATTAGATCAAATGAAAGTGACAGAAAGAATTAGAGCAGTTTGCAGTTGTTTTTGCAAACGAGCACTGTACTGTGCGAAATTTGCCATTTGTCGTGCTTCTTGTGGCAAATCAAACGAGCAACTCGTGCTCCAGCCTGATTTTAGGTTCTGAAATGCCCGATTTGCAGGCAAGCAGTGTGAGCAAAGAAGGCTGGTCATTTCCCATTGTTTAACTGCCCGACACTCAACTACATGTAACCACAAAGATTCACAGATGTTGATTATAGCAACATCTGTGAGTCACTAATTGGGGATTTTCCTAAATCGGGAATTTCCAAATCCACATTATTACGCTTGCCCTAATAGTCTAGGACCTGTATATGAGTTTGTATGCATTTTATTTAGGACAGATAGTCTCAACTGTTTGGGGGCAAGTTGACCATGACGGTCAACATGGTAACGCTGCCCGAACCCCAATCCGGGGCGAAACGTCCGAAACTGACCACACCCAAAAACGACGCTTTCGCCATACTGCTATCTACCAAATCATAAAAGCTTTGGTTATTCTGAGGTGCTTATATGGTTCAGAGATGGTACTTTTGAGGGTGGTCATTGGTAAGTGTAAATGCCTAGCACTAATATTTCACAAGAAAATGACCATGCAATAATCATAGTTAAACGTCAATTTGTGGCTTGCAACTTCAGATAAACAGCAGTGGACTTACATTACCTTTTTCCCTAAATCTTTTTGATAGAAACATAATCGGTACTCATTTAAATATATTATCACTGGTTTGGTGTAAAATAGTTAATATTTTCTGACCGAAATAATAATTTGAAATGCGCCTGCCTCCTGCAAATGGACGTATTTGGCCAAGTTCTCTATTTTACTCCGCTGTTTATCGGCGATCTCATCGACATCCTTCCAAAATGTAAATCATCTCAGACATAATGGTATCAAGAACATTTTAAACAAGTTCCAACTTGGTTTCAAGTAGATCATAGCTGTTTAAACCATCAACAAGGTAAATCCACAACTTTGTCCAAATTCGGCGCCATTTTGTCATCCCATGTCGTTGTCAACAATTCTGCTTTGTTACTCTTACATTCACGCCATATCCATTGCACAGATAACAAATTTAACCCTTGGTTAAGGGTATTAAAATAAAAATACAAATGAAATATGCGAAATGCAGCATTTTATCACCCTGTAAGGTCTTGCTCACGAGTTTTTCAAAACATTCCGTACAAATCTCGCGTGACAAAGTAACAGGGACGTGACAGGGGGGGGGGTGAATTATTTCACGAAGATAGAAGAAGGCTGCGTGA